TCGCACGCAAGAATCACTGGATGCTCGCCCCGGCAGCAGCGAGCTTGTTTTTAGCGCCAGCAGTCCGGCCCAAGTTCGCCATCCACCAGCGCAGTCCCGTGCGCTCCGTTCCGAGTCCAAGGCGCCCCGCCCAGCTGCTGACTTCGATGATGATTTTGCTGGCGAAATCTACGCTGCCCAACGTCCTCAATTCCAACGATGGGTGCCATCTGGGAATGTCGAGTGCCATTTCTGCCGCGCCAAGGGTCACACTCAAAAATATTGCCGAAAAATAAATTTTTGTGTTTATTGTAAGAAATCAGGTCATATAATTCCCGATTGTCGAGTTTTGCAGGATCATATTCATGACGGGAGTGCTTTTGCTGAACCTGGAGCTTCTGTACCTAACTCCGCGCAGCGCCGGTCATCTCCGGCATATGCTACTCAACTTGCTCCTGCCGTGGATAATTCTGCTCCTCCCAGCTCCGCGATCACAGCTGATTCTCTTGAGATGATCATGAGTAAGGCCATTGCCTCGGCCTTCTCTAGCCTCCAGGTTCCCGGTAAATTCCCGAAATGGATTCTTGATTCTGCTTGTTTAAATCACATGACCAGTGACGCGTCTGTTCTTAAACACATTCGTTCTGTTGATAATATGAAGTTGCAAGTTGCAAATGGTGATTGCATTGATGTTGCTGGTATGGGGTCAGTTCAGGATTCAGTTGTGCATTTATCTGACACGTTTCATGTTCCCAAACTTGTTCCTGCGTTGGTTTCTGTGGGTCAACTTACTGACCAAAACTGCCGTGTCGTGTTTGCACCTTCTGGTTGTGTTATTCAGGACCTGAAAACGGGGAGGGAGATCGGTAAAGTTCAAAAGCGGGGTTGCATTTTCTATTTGGAGCATCTGGAGCCGCCTCTCAAGTCTCATTCATCATCGTCATCCAATTCCCCTTTGGTGTCTAGGTTGTCCTCTTCTCCGTTGGCGTCTAGGGTCACATCGTTGCCCGTTTTTTCGAGTATTTCTGAACAGAAATTTCATTTGTGGCATGCTCGTTTGGGGCATCCAAATTCTAGTCGGTTAGCTCTTATGTTTAAACAACAATTGTTTGGTAATAATACTATGGCGGGATGTTCCTCTAATTTCTCTTGTTCCAGCTGTGTTGAAGCCAAGGCTACTCGGATTTCTTTTCCGTCTAGCCAAACTGTTATTTCTGAACCCTTTCAGCTTGTTCATACTGATCTTTGGGGGCCCAGTCCTGTTACTTCTCGCCATGGCTATAAATACTTTGCTTTGTTTGTTGATCATGCGACTAGATATACTTGGGTCTATTTTTTGCGTCAAAAATCCGATCTTCTTGCCATTGCCATTGATTTTCTTAAGATGATTGAGACTCAATTCTCTAAAACCGTGCGTGTCATTCGTTCTGATGAGGGTGGTGAATTTAGTTCTACTCCTCTTCTTACTTTGTATAAGTCTCTTGGTATCCTGTCACAAAAATCTTGTCCTGGTGTGTCCCAACAGAATGGTCTTGTCGAAAGAAAAAATAGACATGTTGTTGAGGTCACTCGTGCTCTTCTGGCCTGAAACCGTGTCTACTGCTGTTCGTCTCATTAATTATCAGATCACCTCTGTCCTTGATCAGTCCAATCCCTATTTTCGATTATTTTCTACTCATCCCCCATATTTGCGTCTTCGTGTCTTTGGTTGTACTTGTTTCGTTCTTCTCCCTCGTTCTGAACGTTCCAAATTGAGTTCTAAAACATCTCGTTGTGTCTTTCTTGGGTATAGTGATATTCACAAGGGTTACTTGTGTTTTGATCCTGTCAATCACCGTCTTCGTATCTCTTGTAATGTGGTTTTCTTTGAGGGTCTTATGTACTACACCACCTCGACTACCTCTCATCCATTGTTTGATACTTCCCTTGGTTTACCCACATTTCCCGATGATGATGATGAGGATTTATTGGCTCCCACTGACCCTGCTGATCTTGATGCCGGTCCCTCCCCACCGCCTTCACCTCCACCGCCGCCGACTCCTCCTCCTCCTCCTCCGACACCGCCATCGTCTCCACCTCCACCGCCGCCGCCATCGCCACCTCTGCCTCCTCGTAGATCACAGCGTTCCACTCAGGGGCAGCCTCCTGCGCGGCTTAATGATTTTGTTACTTATGGAATTGAGTCCCTTGCTGTTCCTACACGGTTTTCGCAGGCACAGGGGCATCCTGACTGGGATCGAGCTATGCAGGTGGAGATGGATGCTCTTCATAGCAACCATACTTGGGATCTTGTACCTCGTCCTCCTCCTCCAGTACCTGTGATTGGTTCTCGTTGGGTGTACAATCTCAAGTTTCTTCCTGATGGTTCTCTTGAACGTCACAAGGCTCGTGTGGTCGCCCAAGGTTTTTCTCAGGAGTATGGAGTGGACTTTGAGGAGACTTTTGCTCCTGTGGCCAACATGGCCACTGTGCGTTCTCTTCTGGCAGTTGCAGCTATTCGGCAGTGGCCCCTGTATCACTAGATGTGAAGAATGCTTTTCTTCACGGGGAGTTGAAGGAGACAGTGTATATGGAGCGTCCTCCTGGTTATCCGTATGGTACCCCAGATCAGGTGTGTTTACTTCGACGTTCCCTTTATGGGTTGAAGCAGGCACCTCGTGCCTGGTTTGAAAAATTTCATGCTACTATCTTGGATTTGGGTTTTCAGCAGAGCTTGAATGATCCTTCCCTGTTTACCCGGTCTACTTCTCGTGGGATGGTCATTCTGTTACTGTACGTTGATGACATGATTGTCACTGGTGATGATGATCTAGGTATTGAGCAGTTAACTCGTGGTCTTCATGATTCCTTTAATCTGAAGGAGCTTGGTCCTTTGTCATATTTTCTGGGTCTTGAAGTTCATCGGACACCTGGTGGCATATTTCTTGGGCAGCGGCGGTATATCGAGGATCTGTTAGAGTCTGCTCGTTTTGGTGATTGTATTCCTGTCTCTACACCTATGGAGATGAACTTGAAGCTGGGTCGTGAGTCGGGGGAGTTATTTGAGGACGGGGGGAAGCAGTATAAGAGTATTGTGGGTAGTCTTATCTATCTGACTTCTACACGTCCTGACATTGCTTATGCAGTTCAGATTGTCAGCAGTTCATGTCAGCTCCTCGTACAGATCACTTGGCAGCAGTTCACCGTCTTCTGCGGTACCTACAGGGTACTAAAGGAGTTGGTTTGTTTCTTCCTTCATCAGGTCGGTTCGTGTTGCAGGCATTCTCGGATTCGGACTATGCTGGGTGCGTTGACACACGACGTTTTACTTCAGGTTGGTGCGTTCGTTTAGGGGACTCGTTCATTTCTTGGCGGTGCAAGAAGCAGGACCGAGTGTCTAAGTCCTCAATAGAGGCTGAGTATCGTGTTATTTCTGATGTCACATCAGAGCTCGAGTGGCTTGTGCGTTTACTCGGTGATCTTGGCGTTACATGTGAGAGCCCTATGCAGTTATATGTCGACTAGGGCTGGGAAACAGTCCGGTTCGGTTTAAACCGGACCGGATTGACCCAGTTTTTTATGACCGGATTGGACTTATGCCCAACCGTAGACGGGATTGGACTGGGACACGGTTTAAACCAAACCGGATTGGATGAGATACGGTTTGGTCCGGTTTTGACCGGAAAACCGTTTTAACCGGAAACCTCACCAAGGTCGTCGGCGCTCGCCGGAATCTGGAGGTGTCGTCGGCTCGTCGATTGCGTCTGGTGACGGAGGAGATCGATGCTCGACGGGAGAAAGGGCAGAGTTGGTAGATGATGGCGCTCGAAGGGAGATGTACAGGAGATCGACGCTCGAGCCTCGAAGGGAGATGTACAAGTGAGGATACGCCGAGATGGGGGAGACTGCTCTCGAGCGAACGGAGATTGAAGGGAGATGATGGCGCCGTCGTGTTCGACTCGTCTATCGTCGCCCGCTGTTTGCCTCGTCGTCGTCGCCGCCGAGGGATAGAGCGAGAGGCGAGAGCAACCAGGCGGCAAGCAGCAGCTCGGTTCCTCAGAGTCAGCTGCGCAGATGGAGATGGAAGGGGAGAAAGAGGAACGACGGATTTGCAATCTGCATTAGGCAATTAGGGTTTCGTCAATTAGGTCTTTTGTTGGGTTGGGTAATATTTTGTTGGGTTATTGATTTAGTGGGTGGATTGGGTAATATTTTGTTGGGCCTGGTCAATTGGTTAATATTTTGTTGGGCCTAGTCAATTAGTTATAACTTACTCGGCCCATCCAGTTTTAAACAGTTTTTCGGTTTTAAACCGGACCGGTTTTTCCCAGACAGCCAGCGACCGGCAATTGGATTGGGTTATTGCGAATTCGGTTTCCGGTTGTAACCGGAACGGTTAAACCCTCCGGTTTCCGATTTGACCGGAAAACCGGATCCGGATTCCCAGCCCTAATGTCGACAACACTAGTGCCATTCAGATTGCAGCTAATCCGGTGCTACATGATCGCACTAAGCACATGGAGGTACACTTACATTACATTCGAGATCTGGTTCGAGATGGCACTGTTTGTCTTTATCATGTTACTTCTGAGGATCAGATTGCAGATATTCTGACTTAGGCGTTTTCGGCCAGTCGTCACTCTTATCTTGCTGGCAAATTGATGATGCGAGACCTCCATCAATTTGGGGGAGGCTGTTGAGTGATAGTAGGCCATGATGGAGAGGCCCATTTATGTATATGAGAATCGGATGTAATAAGGCATAGGGTTAGGAAAGAACAATATATATCTATGTAATGAGGGCTGCCGGAGTTAACAAAGAATAAGAAAAACCTAATCGCTTCGGCCGTGGACTAGTCTCGTTCATCCTGAACGAGGAAACCACATAAATCTCTGTGTTGATTTCATTTCCGTTCCGTATCAGTTCCGTTTCGATTTACACTGTAAAGGTTGCGTAAATTTTAATCTGCTTAAGCCGGTAGCGGAGCTTTGGAGGGAGGTTGAAAGCGACCATGCTTCGTTGTTAAATTGAAGAGACCTAAGATGGTTAAAGGAACTGCATCCCAGAGCAGCCTTTTCGATTACTTGATATATGGGAATTTAATCCTGCACCGGTTCCATCCAGGCAGCTGTTTTTTTTTTTATTCTTGCAGAATTTTGAAAGATGGTGCAACACCGACGTACGCATCAAAAGGAAGAATTGTGAATTCCCAAATCAAAGCCAAGGTCACTCCGACCTCGTCGTCTCAGTTGGGTCAATTCCTTGGGATTCCTGAGCCCACTCGTTCCGATCTTTCCAAGCTCATCTCCCGGTTCACCAAGCTCAACAATCGCCATCCGGAAAGGAAGAGATATTGTGTTCTTAAAGAACACTCTCTGAAGGGTTTTTTTTTTAGCTTGATGGCTCCCCTAATTCGCTGTCAATTGCAAAGAAAAAAATAATAACGTGGATCTCTTGATGGATTATTTTGTGGATTTAATTGGACCGGGTAGGAAGGAAGAAGTTGTCTCTTGCTGGCGCAGACATAAGAGCGAAACTAGCCCTGTTCATTTGCCATTTTGTTTTATGTTTTTTTGTTTTGGCAATGAGAATTAAAAAACAAATACAAAAAAACGTGTTCACTTGATCTTTTGTTTTTGGTTAATAAAACGGAATGGCACAAATGGGGAAGCTGTGAGGAAACGATAAATACTCGTTTCTTGTAAATAACAAAGCGGATTTCCCTCCTTGCCCAGCGGAAAAACGCTACTGTAGTTAAATGAGGTTCTGGGTTCGAATCCCCCAGCGACCCATTTTTGTTCTCTTTTTATTTGCGACATCCACGCACGGACAGGGTTGTCGTTTGAAATTTAGAGTCCTAATGCCAAGTCCAGTGAAGAGCTTCGTCTTTGCCTCCTCCAGCCGGCGACGGAGTCCGCCCCGCCTCCTCCTCCTTCAGCCGGCGACCGAGAACAGCGGCCTTCACCACTAGGCAACGAGGAGCTCCAGCCGTCCAGTCGGCGCATCTTCCTCCTGCCGCGACCCAACTCCAGCCTGCCTCCTCCAGCCGCCGATCGAGAATGCTGAGAATTTTGAATCTGAAAACGTTGGGAGTGGATGGAGCTTGGATATAGCTTCGTCTATTATATTTGAATTGGCCAATTCTATGTAATAGTGATGTCCTAATCCTAAATCACTTGAATTAGCTCTTTCCATATGTTTCTTCTACTGAAGCTAATCACAATTAATTTTTGTTTCTCTTCTTGTTGTCTGGTTGCGAAACTTGCTCCATTTGTTTCTCACTGTGAGAATAATAATACGCCCAGGAATGGCGAGCAGTGGATACTAAATGTCTTATAATTATGGTTAGGGTTGTATGATACTCAATGAACAAAATTGTAAGAATCAAATACCAGAAAACAGTATGAAGTAACTAAACAGGTTTTCAATTTCAGAATTCATTTTCAGAACTCATCAAAATTCTCAGCTAAACAAGTTTTCTGCAGGTTTTGTTTCTCAGGAAACGATAGCTTCGTTTTCATTTTATTTTGTTTGCTGTTGTGGCAGCGTTAAAAAACGAAATGACAAGTAAACGGCCCATAAAGTGCTGCAGAATGGATTGCAGCAGGAGCTTGGAGGGGAGTCTCGGGAAGTTGAGGTTCTCTGGCTTGCCAATCCCGGAAGAAAAAGATTCGTTCAGCAGTGACAAAGTTCCAAGTCAGGCTGGAATGGAACTTATTAGACTTCGAACGAAAAGGACAGAATGAATGCCCTCTCGAAGAAGAGGTAACAACTGAAACTTTGTTCGCAAGTCAATATATGTCATATAGCTTTATGCATGGAATTGAGAATCCTAGTAAATGCTAATTAGCTTTGTGCCCGGCCAGTGGCCGGTTTATTTTTGTTATTGATAATTAATTATTCAATCATTTTAGTTAATTATTATTTTATAATTACGAGACCTCTTATATCCATAAAATATGTGTTTTTATATGTAGAAGTTTGTGTCCGTGTTCATACGACTCACGATGTCGAGTCCAAGTTGTCTGTCCCACTATCTCGCAGTCTCATGTTTTATTTCCCTGTACATGGAAGAAACGGTTGTCATGTCTTGTTAGAGTTTCATCCCAGTTTAACATATATATGAGTGGTTATATAGTACATTATATTGAAAAATATCAAAGATATGGAATATCTTAAGTACGAAAAATTATATATGGACCTTGAATTGATTGGAGTTTGACATATGATACTATTCTCAAACTCTTAAAGATTAAAATCTAGATCTTAATTCTATAAATCCCATACTCTAAGATCACTTTCATTAGAAACAGAATTCGACGGTCATGATTCGTTGAAATATATGCAACAAATTACATTCACAATCTTAGAGGTTAGGCTCTATGATTTAGATAACTAATACCTAAGGTTCACTCATCAAGAGTTAGAGTATAGTATCATGCCAAAAAATTTGATAAATTTGAGGCATAGATATTCGACAATCTAACTTTTTAAACAATTTCAATGAGCTTTCCACTTACAATGTCTGACCCTCAATCAATAAATTTTGATCCCTAACGTAAGAACCTATACACACGTTGCTTTGTCAAGGGTCAACAAAGTTAGTTATCAATGACTAATCAATTTGTATTGTCGCACTACTTGAGTTTGCACTTATTTATTAATTTCCTGTATTGATTTACTTTTGAGCTTTGCTTATGCCAATGTATCTCTTGCAGTAATTGTACCTGTATATTTGTTTGTAAAAATTTAATTCAGTTTTGAGAATGAATTAGCATCCCATTATATATTTGGTTGAAATTATGAGCTCCATATGTCTATCTATTTATAAAGTATATGATTTTCAAAGTTACTCTTTTGTCACATCATCCATATTGAAGTTTTTATGAACACTCATTTTATTATAAAGTTTATTATAATATTCCATTCTAAAGTTTGAGTTAAAAAATATTTAGAAAATGGAGAGTTTTTTTTTTTTGCCATAGATAGATCGTAGATAGACAGTTGATTACACTTGGTGAAAAAGTAAATAACGGTAGTCGACCGATTGTCGAGCTACCGATGCAAGGGCCGTTTTTGCCACTAAATGGGCAGCCCTGTTAGCCCTACGGGGGGCAAAAACAAACTGAATGCACTGGAAGCTTGACTTCAGGAGCCGCACTTCCTCTAGGATCGCCCCACCAGACTCGTGATGAACATCATTCTCCGTCGCTCGCCGGATCACCAATTGCGAATCACCACATAAACAAACATTATAGAAACCATGATGTAAACACCATAACATTGCATCCCGGAGGGCAAGAAGTTCAGAGAGGAAAGGATCAGCCAAACCTATATAAAACTTCCCATATGCACATACCAGCGATGAGTCTTCCGCAAGTCCCACGAAACCTGTGCTACCACCAACATCGTTGCGGTAGGCGCCGTCAAACCGCATCAAGGGACCACCCGGGGGACAGAAGACCGGCAGAGGCTGCCTGCCTTGCTGCCGACCAGCTGGGCTATTGGTAGTCAAATTCCCTGTTGCTGCACACCACTCGCTGAACTGAGAGGAAAGCTGCCGATGTAGCGCGGCAGGCAAATATTGGACCTGGTCATACGGCGTCCAATACCTGCCTTTCCACAGTCGCCAAGTGATGAAGACTATCTCCGTAATCTGGACCTTAGAAAGCTGCAAACCAAAACAAATGTGCCGCCAAGCAGCATCTGGAGGCAGAAGGCAAACTGCCCGGCGAACGTGATCTTTCCCGACGAGCTCCCACACACCACGAGCTACCCTGCAATTGAAAAAACAATGGGATATTGACTCAGGGGTCTCCGAACAGACAGGACAAATGTCATCATCACAAAGAGTTTTTTGTTTCAAAACAGCTCGCAGCGGGAGAACCCCCGAACTAGCCTCCATAAAAAGAATTTCAGTTTCGGCGGAATGGGGAGATTCCACATTAATTTCCAAAACTTGGTGTCCAAATGAGGCGAGACGGGTGCAAAGGATGCTGATCTCGCCGCCGAAAGAACCTGATAACCTGATTTGACGGTGTAGAGCCCGGATGACGAATAATGCCAAATGAGCCTGTCCGGGATAGGAGAGGAAGGAAATGGGATGGACAGGATCCACTTCACACTTTCCATGTGGAAAAGGCTGTGTAGAAGGTCGATGTTCCAGGTTCTTGTCAACGGATGAATAAGGGATGCCACATATGGGTTTGCTAGGAAAGCACCATCCAGAAGCTTCGACGCGGACGACGGAGATGAAGGAAGCCATGGATCCTGAAGGATGTCAATGGCTGTCCCACACCCCACCTGCCATCGAAGACCCTTGACCAGCAATTTCCGCCCTTCAAGGATTCCCTGCCATGCCCAGGAAGGGCGAGAACCCACTGGCGCCTTGAGGAAAGAGGAATTGTGATGATACCGTGCTTTATAGATGCGAGCCAAGGTGGACGAGGGATCCTGAACAAGCTTCCACGCCTGTTTGGCTAGCATAGCGATATTAAACAGATCAAAGTCTTTGAAACCGAGTCCTCCCTCGAACTTGCTTATACACACCGCCGGCCAAGATATCCATGGGATACCCCTCTCTTTATCTTGCCCTGCCCACCAAAACCGGGACACCTGGCTATTTAGCCTTCGACAACTTGTGGAGGGCAGCCTGAAAGATAACATCGTATACACCGGAGTAGCCGACCCCACTGCCTTAATCATCACTTCTTTAGCAGCCAGTGACAAGGCCTTGGACTTCCAGCTTCGAATCCTACCTGCAAAAGCATCTTCTACATACTGGAAGGTTAAAAACTTGGATCTTTGGACTTGGGCAGGAAGCCCGAGATACTTGTCAAGCGGACCGACAGCCGAGATCCCTAGCTACCCAGACAACAAAACAGCTTCCTGGTCAGTGACATTAGCGCTAAAGTAAACAGAGGATTTAGAAAGATTGACCTTCGCTCCACTTGACTGTTCATACAGTCCCGAGGAGATGAAGAAGTGAGGAGCACTCTATTGATGATGCCCGCAGGAAAAGGTATGAGTCATCGGTGAACAACAAATGCGATACGGTGGGTGCATGACGATGGACTTTCAACCCGTGGAGCTGATTCGAGGATATGGCACCATCAATCATAGAAGAAAAAGCTTCGGAATATATGGCAAAACAACAGGGGGGATAAGGGATCACCCTGCCGAATACCCCGCTGAGGTCTAAAGTAGCCATGCTCCGTACCATTCAGAATAAGAGAGAAGGAGACTGAGGTCACACAAGCTTTCATACACTTAATCCACTGCCTATCAAAGCCCAAAGCTTCCATTACTGCAAATAGGAACCCCCATTCCACCTGGTCATACGCTTTTTCCATGTCGAGTTTCACTGCCATCCACTTATCCCTTCCCTGAGACTTAGTCTTGAGAAATTGCATGACTTCTTGGGCTATAAGAATATTATTCG